GTTACTAACAGGCATCTGACCTTGGCCCACACTGCAGACTTCCTGAAAATTCTCAAGGTCCACAAACCCCAGAGAAACAACACTTGGACTTGGTGTACCCCGTACTACTTGCTAAGCAGCCCCCAGCAGGGCAGTAGTGTAAGCTGGCCTCAGTTCACAGCATCGCTGCTCTCCAGCACCTCCAAACCAAGCACAGGCTACTACCAACTGCAGATCACTCTGTATGTCCTACTAAGTGGCCCTGGTCCAAACACAAATAGCAGCTGACCTGGGACTGTACCAGAGCTTCTCTCAAAAGGCTCAGGAAACAACATACCTAATCATCAGCTTCAGTCCACACCAGAGCACCACTCAATTAGCTCCAAAGAATGGACTCAACAGGAACTAGAGCCTGCTACATCCAATCTCACTCCACAAAGTTAGCCTGCAGTCAAAGCCACTCTTCATAGTCCAACAGGATCAAGTCCATACACTTAAGTGCCAAAAGCAATCAAGGCTCAACTACAACAGGAGAGCACAAACAACTCACACAAGGGGTGCTATGCCAGTGGGCCCCATCGGACACTTACTACATAAAGTGACCCTGCCAAGACTGGGAGACTTAGCAGATCTACATAATACATAGAAGAAACAAACTCAGAGAGGCAGCCAAAATGAGAAAATAAAGAAAGAACAGGAAAACTTTAGAAAAAGAACTAAACAAAATGAAGGCAAGCAATCTACCAGACACAGAGTTCAAAACAGTTATAAAGATGCTCGATAAACTTAGAGAAAGAATAGATGTACTCAGTGAGAACTACAACAGATAGTGACGCTAAAAAAGGATATTGCAAACATTAAAAAAAGTCAAAAATGTGCACTGCAATAACTGACGTGAAGAATTCATTAGATGCAATTAACAGCAGATTAGATGAAGCAGAGGATTTAATCAGAGATTTAGAAGATAAGGTAGCAGAAAACACCCAATAGAAACAGCAAAAAGAAAAAAGAATAAAAAATATCAGGATAGTTTAAGGGACTCTGAGATAATATCAAGGGTTACAACATTTACTCCATAGGGGTACTACTAGGAGAAGAGTGAGAGCAATAATTGAAAATATATTTCAAGAAATAATGGCAGAAAACTGCCTTAACCTGGTGAAGGAAACATATGTACAAACCCAGGAAGTCTCAAACCAGGAAACTCAAAGAGGCCCACTCCTAGACACATTATAATTAAAATGCCAAAGGTTAAAGACCCCAAATTTAAAAGCAACAAAAGAAAAGCATTTAATTATGTGCAAAAGAGTTCCCGTAAAACTGTCAATTGAACTCTCAATAGAAACTTTGCAGGCAAGAAGCAATTGGCAGAAAATATTTCAACATAATGAAATTAAGAACCTACAAACAAGAGTACTGTACCCAGCAAGGCTATCATTTAGTATTGAAGGGAAGATAAAGATGTTCCAACAACAACAACAAAAAACTAAAGGAGTTTTTCACCATTAAACAAGTTTTACAAGAAACCTCAAAGCTATGTCTTGAAGAAGGAGAAGATCAAAAATATGAATAACAAAAGGACAATAACTATCAATAGTTACTTTAGTTGTAAAAGGAGTAAACGTTCCAATCAAAAGACATAAGGTAGCTGAATGGATAACTTCTTATGATTATTACAATCAGTAGTTGGATCCATGAAAGATCTGACTCTAGGTGATAAACACACAATGCATATACAAATGATGTATTGTTGAATTGTACACTTGAAACGTATATAAAATTTTTAACCAATGTCACACTAATAAATATAATTTTAATCAGATTTTATTTAGGTATAATTATTATAAAGGTCAGGATAGTATAATTTAAAAATCACATTAAAAATTCTTATCGCTGACCAAATCGTATATCTCGTCCATTGTGGGAAAACTTTCTCCAATATAATTTCCCTATCACTATATTTTTTAGTCAATTCATATCTTCAGCCCTCGCTTTCAAGACTTACTAAAGTGAACACAAACACTCATACATACACACAGAATTAGTGATATTTTTATAAAATGGTTTGTTCTGACCAATTTTCTATTTTATCTATCAAAAACAATGATAGGTAAAATTTAAAAATATTACACAAAACTAAAAAGCACTAAATTTAAAAAATATTACACAAAACTAAATGCACAGCAGAAAAATTAACTTCACGCAGAAGAACTTTACCTTGGTAGCAAAAACAAAGTCTTTGTTGTCTGATTCAGGACATGAATCATCAAGGCCAGCTTTTCTAGAAAGTCTTTAGAGTAAAAATATACAACAAAAATAAGTAAATTAGTTCATTTCTTTAAAAGAACAACAACAAAAAAGAATGGTCAGCTACATGTATATTAAAGATTCTCAATATAATTAAATTTAACCTGTTTTAAAAATAACTTTTAGTTCTCCCAATCTACAAAATAGTCTATAAAGACACACAATTCCAGTAACAAAAAAAGACATTCAATTATTTTCCAAGCCTGAGATTACATTGTTTTCGCTAAAAGTCCTGAAGCCTGAATTGCAAATTAAGATTATGATTGATGTAATTTTTTTAACCTGAACTAGAACAAATCTGACGAAAAAAAGTAAAAGATACTGTCCTTTCCACATTGTTTGACCCTGTTTCAAAGACTAATCTATGGCAGTCGAAAATAGCAGTCTTGGTTCTTTAGCATGGCAACCACTACATAAGGTAATCCCATTCCTTCCTTTTACCCTCAGATAGTACAGAAAGTTCCCTGAAATGTTTGAAATGGTGGAAAGTTAAATGTAACAAAGTCAAAGAACAAATGTATATGCTGTTACCCTTTCCACTCCTAGGTCCCTTTTCCACAGGGCTCCATGGCAGTCTCCAACCTGTAAATTTGCAGCCTCTGAAGGCAAGATGCCTGATACAAGGATGGGCTCGAATTACCAAGAATAGGGGCTCTCTATTTCCCTGCTCTTGGAAAACAAGCTGATAGAGTCTTGGTCATCCACCCCTTACATAAGCATGTTTCTAGCTACTCACCTCCATTACTGATTTGACAGCCAGTCCTACCCCTGCCCAAACCTCCATGTACATGAGAAGGACGTCAGTAAATTGGGAAAAGAGGTGGAGGTGAGGAGACACCTGCCTTGGTCCGTGGATCTAAGTAGTTCAGCAACCTCCAATCCCCTAGGACTCGAGAATACCTAAGCCCCCTTTGTAAACTGGATCGAGGTAGATGATACCACATTCCTATGTGCTCTAAAGAGAATCTTTTCCAGTGTCTCAAATTATTTTAATATCTTTTGATAGAATGAATTTTTCTATTTCCTCCAAATCAAAAAACAAGCCAAAAAGCAGCAACCAGCTTGGGACTCCCTTAAACCCTTTATTTTAATCTGCCTTGCTAGGCTACTCCTTACATCCTGTGTCCGTCCTTGTAATTTATCTTTAACTTGTCATAAATCTCAATATTCTGACCTCTTTTACCTAATCTGATCTCTGATGTCTTTTCTAAAGTCCTTATTCCTATCCTAACCCAGTGCTGTTGCTCTGGAAACTTGGATTTCCCTGCTATTTAGTTCCTACCCTCTTCTACTGTGTTCACTGGACCCACTGTCCCCACTTTGCTAATATTAAAACATTCACCTGCAGGATGAGAAAGAAGGAAGAATCCTGGGTTTAGAAACCTGAGGTTTTTAAATCTTATTTCCGTCACTTACTGTATTGGAATAAATCACTTTAATCTCTTTGAGTTTCAAATTTGCCATGTGAACACTTGGCCAGGATATTACACACAGGTTGAAGTACTACAGGGTGCTTTGATTAATTAATTGCTAAGATTCCTCAAATTTCTGAAATTCGGTATGCTTTTGAGTCTGTAGAAAATGAAGAATTCTTAGCTGGCAGAAGTGGAAAAAATAACGGAATGAAAGAAACAACAAGACGAGCAGAGAGGGTAAAAAATCAAAAGCAGAACCAACGGCACTCAAGGCCCTGTCCAACGAGAAGAGTCCCATGATGCAGCGGCAGATCTCCAAGGACACTGGCGCAGCCAACTCTGCCAGGACACAGCTGACAGAAAAGAAGCGCACTCTACAGCTCCTGGAGATGGCACTGCAGTCCCTCCTGGCAGTGAAACACTCCCTGGAGCACTCCTTGTCAGAGACCTAGGCAACGACTGTGCACAGTCGGCCCAGATCCGGGCTCAGATCCGGGCCCTGGAGGAGCAGCCGCACCAGGTCAGAACCGAGACCGAGGGCCAGAAACTGGGCTACGAGCAGCTCCTGGACATCCAGGTCCGTCTGAAAAATGAAATGGAGACCTACTGTGCCTGTTAGGTGGAGATGGAAACTCATGCTCTAAATCAAAGGGCTCTGGATCAGGAAGCTCAGTGAATTCACCCAAAGATGTAGCCAAAACCACACTGGTAAAGACGGTGGTTGAAGAGTGAGATCAACGTGGTAAATTCCCTTCATCGAGGATTCACTCTACTGAAGGAAAAACATCTAAAATGATCTATGACAATGCAGAATAAGTGTTTCTCTCTAGCTGTCATTTCTGAGAAAAGAATAATTTGGGAAAGGATCTTGTACAATTGCATTATTCTAAATCTCAGGAGATAACAAAAATACTTTCTACCCTTAAAGACAAGTTACTTAGCCAAAATAACTTCTTTTTTTTTTTTTAATTATCTTTTGTAGGGAGTCGGGTGTTTGTTTTCAAATAAATAAAAAAGTTGATGTCCACTCATTTTCATTCACTCATGACTAATAAATAATTATTCACAATCAAAAAAGAAAACTCACAGAATAAGAAAATAAGATTCTAGAGAAAAAAAGAGAAGAAACTTTACTGAAGTAGGCAGAGGTACTAGCCTGAGGGAAAAAAAAACTAGACTGGGAAGGCAGTAAGTAGAGGTCAATTACAAATAGCCTCTAAATAGATGCTGAACTTAATTAACATAGTAAGGTCTATGCATAGATACTCTTCAATTACAGTGCACTAATTCTCCTCAAAAAGAATAGACATCATTATAGATAAAAGCTTGCCTAATTAGGCCTTGCTATGTAAAACCTAGGGTTCTGTGGCCATAGCTGACTGAGATCTGCCCTAAACAATTTGATGTTAAAACAAGGTACAAGTTACTACTGCAGCTGTCCAGTATACTAAGATAAATGCTTAGACTAACAGGGCTTTGTAGGAAAACTCTAAGTCAGCATCAACACATAACTAAATTGGACTCTCCAAACACATAATTAAATTGAAGGCTTTTTGAGTTGATCTGACCTGAATCTATATATTGATGCCAGTGCTGCACAGGAACTTATCAGTATAGACTGAGGGACAAGATGATGGATTTGGGAGCAAAGTAGGCTGAAGATCAAATCAGGGACCTGCCACTTGTTCACTATGGAATCACAGGTTAATGAATGGACTGTCCTGAAGCACAGTTGCATAATTGATAAAAAGCAGGCTATAATAGCACTGCCACTTTGCAAATCCATTGTGATGACACTATGAGAAAATAAATATTAAGCACAGATGTAGTGTTTATCCCACAGTAGAACACTCAACAAGTGTAACTTCCTTTACTCTGTATTTCCCCAAATGTATAATTTTTAAAAATCTATAAAAATCCTACCTGCTTATAGAGTGTTCTTCAGAATTCTCATTCACTATTAAAGAAAAAATTAAAATATATTTGAAATCAAGAATAGTAAAATAAAGAACTATAAAAGTATCAAACTGATGCTGTGTTAAGAGATATTCCTTTGGGAGCATATCTGAAGATGATACGTGAATAAATATTAATGATACTGTTGACAGACAATATATTAACTTTTACTTCCCCTTCTTTATATACATATCGAATGCAAGAAAAACAGAATGGGTTTTTCAAATTCAATACTTACGAGAGAACTGCTGTTTACAATGATGGTAATCCTAACCAAACTGAAGCAAACTGACAGAATATGGTATTATTAGTAGTATCATAAACTAACAATGTCAAACTTCAGTAGCATGATTTCTCTGGACTCTGCCACGAAGAGCAGTTAGAAGAGAGAATACATATTATGCTGTAACACATTACCCCTTCCCCACCTCTTCAGTCAAGCCTGTTCAGTTTAGGAAATGCAGTCTATAGGTACTATACTCTGCAGCATGGCAAAACATAGGGAACAGACGCTTTCTGACCATTTCCAGTTGCAAAATAAGTATAAAAGACTTTGTGATTCCAGCTTTATAAATTAAAAACCCTTTGGACTGTTTCCTTTCATTGTTACAGAGTCTGTCTGGTCCTGCCTCATGGAGCAGGAGGGTCCAAATAGTGCTGCACAGTGGTGCGTGATGACATTTTTCTTAGCTCCCCCATTATGTGGCAAATGTTTATAGAGATCATGCTTTTTCAGCTTGTAAGACCTATGTCATCAGATCTTAAGCTGATGAACAATAATAAACAAATGGAAATCCACTATGGACAAAGAATATCTTGAACAGCTACATTCGATTACCTTAGAATTTTAATTTTTAAACTTTCATAAAGATACTCACTCTATGGTTCCAACTATATGACTTTGAAGAAATTGCGAAACTATGACTACAGTAAAAAGCTCAGTGGTTTCCAGGGAATTAGGGATAAGACAGGGCTGAATAAGCAGAGCACAGGGGATTTCTAGGGCAGTGAAATTATTTGATAAGATACTGTATTGATGGATACATTTATCAAAACCCATAGACTCTGCAACACCAAAAAGTGAATTTTAATGTAAACTATGGGCTGTGGGTGATGATGATGAGTCAATGAAGGTTCATCAATTGGAATACATGTACATCCCTGATGCAGGCTGTCAACAATGAAGGAGACTGTGTGTATGATGATATGGGGTTTATGGGAACTCTGTACTTTCCATTCAATTTTACTGTGAACCTAAAGCTGCTGTAAAAAATAAGGCTTATTATTTTTTTCAAATATAAAGTGTCCACGAATCTGCTATTACCATATATTAACATATTAAACCTGTTTTTAAAGACACGGTCCCCTCGAAATTTAAGATATAGACCTAAGTATCAGAATAGGGGTATTTTCCCTCAATTGAATGAAGCATATAAAAATATATAAAAAAGCAAATCATTTTAATTGTATACATAAGCAAGAAACTAATTGAGAAATATGACTGAACATCTTGTTTTATTATTATAATCAGGGATTTAATGCAACGTGAATCAAAATTGAATCATCCCTACAATTAAAAGACAATTTTTTTTTCTAATTTTAAATCAGAAATCATTGTGCAGATTTTATTTTAAAATGTTATGGGAAGATTCGTCAGATGAGAAGGAAAGATTATAATGACCATAGTCATTGCCATAGTGATTTATGTAAAAATACTTGTTAAATATTCACTAAAAGTCATAAAAGTAACCAGCATTGTAATTTATTATGGATGATGTAACTGAAATCAACACCATGTTATACCATCATATTATAGTTATTAAAATAAAATGTTAAGACAACACCAAAAATTAAGTCAGGGCTATTACTGTGGTGCAGAGAAGATTTTATACAGCAGGCCTAAGACTGCTGTCCTCACAATGTTCTGCTCGAATGGTTGGTGTCTGGGAACCTGGTTGGGGAAGGGTCCCACCAGTCCCTAACTGACAAGAGTGGCTCACTCAACCTCGACTGTCTGTAGAAACAAGGTGGTTCATGTGAGCATCTGCTTTCCTTCGGGGAGTCTGGAATTTTGGTCCATGCTAGAGGAAGGATGCCTATGTGAGTAGCATTCCTATGACTGAGCCCAGTGAGACTCTGGCACTGGGAGACAAAGTCTCACATATGGTGTCAGAACTGGACATGGAAGGAATTAAGCGCATCCTGGGAACTCCATAGAGAGAGGACTCCTAAAAGTTTGAGCCTGGTTTCCTCCAGACTTTGTCCCATACACCTATTCTCTTTCTGATTTTAACCTGATCCTCTCACTGTAATAAATCACAGGCATGAGTACAACTATATGCTGAGTCTCGTAGTTTTCTAGTGAGTAACGAAAGCTAGGTGTGGTTTTAAAAAATCTCAAAAAAATCGAATTACATCAATTTTTTATTATTTGTGTTGACATATTATACATGATTAAAGTCAGAAGATTATTTCACAGATTACCTGTCCCAGAGAATAATGTAAAACAAGCAACCATCTTAATGAGTATTTGAAAAATTAATGACAATATGTCCTATAACTTTCTAAACAGAAAATAAAGAGATTACAGTGTTAATCTTCTCTAGCTAAACTGGGTTTAATTCCATTTTTCAATAGTTATGAATCAATCAAGTAAATGAGATAACCACAGGAAAACATGTAACTATCATTTATAGTATAATAATATACTACTAATGGTAGTATTCTTTTTGCTTCTAATATTTTTCAATTTCCTATAAAACTAAAAACATGCCTCATCTATTAAAAGGCAGAAGTTGACAAAACAAGATGAGTCAAAAATATTTTATCCAAAACGTGTAATGAGTTATCCATGATATTCCATCAAATTCAACATGTATATTAAAAAGCATCCTTGTCTTCCCTGTTGACCTGCTGCTCTTCTCTGTTCATCTGACAAGTCCTACTCATTCTTCATGTCCAAGTGAAATGCTACTCAATCACCTCAGTACTTATGAATTATCATAGATTTCTCTCTCCCTGCTAACTTTTTATATTCAATCATCCTAAATCATATTAACTGTACCTCTTTTCTATCTCTGCTTTATTTTGTCACAGCCACCACCCTAGTCAAACATGGGCTCTTAACCAACGGCTTTTGCAGGGAAAAAAAAACAAAACAAAACACCACCACCATCAACTATTATTGCTATTTCTTAAATAAATGTGATTGTTTTCAGCAACACAAATGAGAAAGACATAATTCTAGAAAAATACCAGCATTTTAAATTGAATAAACTGAGCTTCTTGATTTTTTTATTCTGCACGGATGGGTGACAACTTTATAATGCACCAATACTAGTCGAAGGAAGCAAAAGCTTTCTTCGTCTGCCTGTCTCTTTTTGTATTTTTCTTCAATCTATCCTCTATGTGAAAGGTCAGCAAACTGTGACCCACAGGTCATATCCAACCAACTCGCCATCCTGTTTTGTAAATAAAGTCTGACTGGAGCACAGACATGCCTATCCATTTACATATTGTCTGTGACTGCTTTCACATTCTAATGGCAGATTTGAGTAGAAATGACAGAGACCAGAAGACCTAAAATCAGGCCCTTTACAGAAAAAGCCTGCTGATCCCTGCTTTATATCATAACCAGAGTGACCAAATCAAATGTAATCTTCTCATGCTTCTGCTCAAAACTCTCTAATGAATCCCTGCAGTAACTAGTGTTGGCTCCCTACCCACTGGCCATTCCTTAGTCTTCATTCTCACTAGGGAACCACAATTGCATTTGGATATTTATTGTCCCAATACACAAAGAATGTGGACTGTTGCCAGCTCCAAAAAGAGAAATGATTATACTAAGTTAATCACAGTAACTAGTTTACCCCT